TGGTGTGAGTGTTGTTTTCTTGAAGTATCGTTGTCTCTGAATGAATTACAAAACAAGTTCTTCAGCGATCACTAAACAAGCTCAGTGTATGATCGCTGGAACTGAAATTACAGATACAGAAATACATCGAAAGGAAAAAGGGATTATCATCAAATCACTGAGAGAGAGGATCAACAACCGCCTTGCTTGTATTAACTTAAATAGGCATATAAACTTTATTTTAACCAAAAACGTATGAACGACATGATAAGCTGGATTCGAGCCTAGTTATGCCCTCAACTTCATTTGTTCCCGTGTAAAAATGGATAAAACGATTGTTTTACTCCCGGTACGTCTCATATAATTTTTAAAATTTCTTTAATGTCTCATTTATCAATTGAATATGAAGTCACCTTCGTCATCACATATTTATCTTCTTCCCCATAATCCTAATCTYCAACTCAATCTTGAAAGGAACAATAGTACTTTCGAAACCATAAATCTTGTGAAGCCAAAATCAAGTTCCTTATTTTKAACCAAACTAAATAGTTGATTGTGAACCAATGCCAATCTCTTTCGAAATAGGCTCGCAAATCGCAATCTCGCAGTCACTTTTGAAACAGCCTCATGCTTGGATATTTACTCAAGGTCTTGAAACCAACACTTTTTTTGGGTTCTAATCTTGTAAGTGCCGATGCTTCTTTTGGTTTATCGACTGAATCTAGATTGGCCGACTTATAGTAGAATCATTAACCACAAACTCTTCCTTCAATATGGAATTCAATGGTATACATGTTTCAGCATTTACATCAAGTAGATCTGAAAAATTGTGCTGGAATTTGGAAAATCAATTGATGTTTGATGTTCTGAGTTTGGATTAAATTCTAACCACTTCGTGCATGCATTCCACTTTGAAAGGGTTTTATTCGATATCTAGAGATCGACACGGAAGAGGCATCTAAGGTGTTTGGTGAATGATTAATCTTGTTAGGTTTTCTTTTTCTAATTTATTTCAGCTTCGGTTTGTGTTTCAAGATGAAGAAGTTCGTCAAAAGCGACTTCTTGGAGAACATAACAATGATAAGTTTATGAACAATATTGTAAACCAGTTAAGCACCTTTATTGTAGGCTTATTTGTTATAAGCACTTTTTATCATTTGTGAAGTTTAGAGGTCAACCCAAAATTAATAGGCACCAGGCCCGTTCCTGACATTTTTTAGGCCCTGGGCGAACGTAAAAACAGGCCCCCTGTAAAAAACAAGGTTTTTAGCAACGACTTTTGTCGTCGCTAAATGTCCATTTATCATCAGAAAGAGTACACCAACAACATGTCGACGCTATAACTTGTGGCGGAAACATGTTATCGCTGAAAGGCGCATCGTCAAAACTCACTATTCTTGTAGTAACATTCGGTAAGTACGAAAATAAATTCAATAAATGTTTTTTATTAGTATAAAATTGAGTACAAGAAATGCTAATAATTTACTGAGGAAAAAAATCTTATTTATCTTTATTATATATGTGAGTCCTCTAATTTAACTTTCAAGACGAATACAATTTAATACTGATTTTCGGTCCTAACAATATATATATAAGAGAGTACTTAAATTTACGTACTTCTTATTAGGTAATTTAAAACCAAGAGTATAGAAACTATGGTTGATAAATTTTTATAAAAAGTAAGAATTTTTTTTAGTTCATAACAAGAAATATGTGTTATTTTGATATAAAAAGATAATTCGTGTGAATGAAGTAATCATTAGAGTCAATGAG